TTAAATTAAAGAAAAAGAATAGTAAAATACAAACACAATTCTCATGTGTCCCAAGGGCAAGGGCGTGTGTGTGTGCGCGCGCGCGCTTGAGTCAACCTAATCTGCTAGTAGTAGACGCCTCTTCAAACCTGAGCTGTATTCCAGAATTTGAACACAAACACAATAGAGGGTAATTGCAATCAAGGGTAAATTAAAGTTCAAAAAGACAAAAAGAGAAAAGAAAAACCCCTAATGCAGCTTGCCTAGTTGCCCCCCCTTTTTTTTTTTTACCATTCATCCACCTAGCACTGAGAAAAGTCACTGATGGTGGTCTTGTCATTTAGCACTTAGCACAGCAGAAACCCCAGACCAATTCCTCCAAAAAGAACCAAATGGTTAGGGGTTTTAGGTTTTCGAGCATTAGAGTAGGAGAAAGTTTCCATCTTGTTGTGAATTTTCCTCAATATTCTACTGGGTTCTCATTAGTTTTCCAAGCTCTCACCTTTCAAAATACCCATTTTTCTAATCCATTCTCTATATTAGAGTAGACTTCGATGACGTGCAAATACACGAGATAGACAGACCTCTTTAAATAAGGCCAACCCCTTTTCCCCACACACACACACTCTCTTTCTCTCTCTTGTCCTTTCCTTGGTAACAGTAACACACCACCACCCCAGGCCCATCCAGGACCAGTTCAGTCGCCAGGCGCCGTTTCTCTTTTCTCTCACTTCTTTCTCTCTCTGTGATGGTGTAAATGCCCCAACTATCTTCATATAGTAATCCTTGACCAATCTCCTTTCAAAATTCGAACAAGAAAACCATGGTGAGTGTTTCTCTGCCTTTTGCTTTTCAATTTTGTTTCTTTGGGGTTTTGCTCTTCATGTGTAATTTGAAGTTTGTTTCTTCACAGTTACCACAGTGGCTGCAAGTTCTTCTCACTGAGAAATTCTTCAACGCTTGCATAATTCATGAAGAGGCCAAAAAGAACGAGAAGAACATCTATTGCTTGGACTGTTGCACCAGCATATGCCCTCACTGTTTGTCCCCTCACCACTCTCATAGGCTCTTACAGGTAACTCCTGTGAAATTCACCTAAAAAATCTCTCAAAATCTGGAATTTTTCTCTGTAATTTTCAGATGTTGATTTTCAATTCTTGGTTTCAGATTAGGAGGTATGTCTATCATGATGTTATAAGGCTCGATGATGCTGCCAAGTTGATGGATTGTGCCTTTGTCCAAGTAAGTCATAATTCTTTCTCATAGAAAGAAATTAACCAGCTGGATTCGACCGGAACTCTGAAAAAATGGAAAAAAAATAAGGACATTCTTTTTAGGGCAAGTTCACTAACACCCCTTTCCGCATGCTTAGTGAATTAAAATACCCTGTATTTCTTAAAAATTGAAAACTAGGGAAAATGAAAATCCATCTTTGAAATTGTTGTTCTTGAACCATTGTCTAGAATTGAATTGTGTGATGCATGCTCTATTGTTTTGTGTGTCTTGAATGGTTCTTATTGTCTCTCTCCATGGACAGTCATACATAACAAACAGTGCCAAAGTAGTATTTATAAACCAAAGGCCACAGACGAGGCAGTTTAGAGGCTCCGGCAACATCTGCAGTACCTGTGACAGAAGCCTGCAAGACCCATATCTCTTCTGCTCCCTCTCCTGCAAGGTTGCTTCGACTCTTTTATTATTAATTATTATTATGGGTCCAGACTCCATACATCCATCCCCACTTCTGCATTTTTCGTTTTTCTTCCATGTCTCACTGCTATCTTCAATTATTTCAATTACCCTTTATACTTTTTCGTCTATAATCTCATCTGGGTGTCTCTTACTTCTCACTTAATTTTTGATTTTATATGCTAATCCACAGATTAATTATTTCTTGAGAACGCATGGTGGGCTCTCGCAGTTGATTTTCGATTGCAAGTTCTTATCTTTGCCGGAGCCAGGTTTGGACGACGGTGAGATGACACCTGACTCGGTCCTCGAAGCCGCCGGCTCTACCAGGACATCTTCCGATTCAGATGGGCACGACGGAGACTGGTGCAGAACGCTTGCTTGCACTGCCACAACCGAGATCGTTAGAAAGAAGAGGAGCAGCTTGAAGGTGTGCCGGTCGATATGCTCTCCGGTTTCGGAAGTTTCAGCGAATTTAATTAACCGGAGAAAGAAAACTCCACAGAGAGCTCCACTCTACTGAATTCGTATGGGAGGGGAAAAACATGGGAGAACAGAAGTTGGGATATAGATTGAAAATTATGATTTTAATTAGGGGCAATTCAGGGATAGAATAGATCTCCCAATTTTGATTTTGTAGTTCCTCCTCTCTTAATCCAAAATTGTTCAATGGCTTGTTCTTTTTCTTCTTCTTTTTTTATCTCCTTTCTTGGCAAAGGTTTAAATGAGGAATAGTATCATTATTGGCTGTGTTTCTGCATTGTTTTTTTATACCAATTATTTTTATTTAGATGTAGAAGCCCTTTTGTTGATTTTGAAGATGAATTTGCACGAGTAATTAATTTATATTTTATTGGAATTTTTTAGAGTATGCTCATAGCATATTTTAAAAATATATTTGTTATATTTTTTTAGTATTAATTTGGATAAAAAAATAAAAATTGATTAAAGTTTTACAAAAGATTATTTTATAAGTTTAGATTGTGTTAAATTGGAAAATAATGACATTTAAAGTGAGAAGTTCTCTTGATATTAAACCTTTTTTTTATTCAATTTAAAGATCATGATTTTGTAGTTTGATTTGATATAATTTGAATGGTAAAGGAGAAAATTATAAGTTTTATTAATAATTTAATTAAATTGTTATGAGTGATATAGTTGTTAAAAATAAATTTTATTTTTATAATTTATTTATATAAATTAATAGTTAAAAATATATTTTTAATTTATACTTTAAAAGATAATGTATTAAAAAAATCCTATCTTTTTATTTGGGGGCGATTAATGGTGAATTTAAAGATTATAAACCTTAAAAAAATCATTGAAAAGAAGTTAGATTTGGGTTTGTGTGACCACAACCACCCACCAATGTAGATGGAGGTTTTTTTTACTTTGTCTTGCTAATTTCCATTGCTGTTTTCTGTTCTTGTCTTTTTCTTTCGCTTGGGTACAGGATGGAGACAAATTTGCAAGGCAATGTACCCCCATTCACTTCTTTACCCTTCCCAATGTCTCTTCATTTGTGCAAAAAAAAAAAAAAAGGACAACAATTTCTCTTTAAAAGAAACATACTTTTTTTTTTTATTTTTTATAAAGGTAATGGTTACTAAGTTAGTAGGTTAGTATTGTTAAATATTAGTAATTGGAAATTCGATTCTCAGATCTGATGAACAGTCCACCAATTGTTAAATATTAGTAATTGAAAATTCGATTATCAAATCTGGTGAATAGTTCACCGATCTTAATAAGACGCGTGACTATCAAACCGCTTGGTGGAGTTAGAAGAGAAACACTACTTGAAACAAGCAGAGGAAATTAATAATGGGTCCGAGGGAGACGTATTTAATTATATGGACTAGCTGCTTGATTAGTGCAAGAAATATCAGTACAAAAATGATAACTATAATATAGTATTTAATGCATTACAATTATAAATTTATAATTTTATATAATATTATAAAATTAATACAATTCATGAGTATGTTGTTGACTTTAAAACGGGTCCTTAGTCCTTTTTTACATTGTACGGAGCAGACAGCTGTTTGTGATTCAAAAAAATTTAAATTTACCATAAGTAAAATGGTATGGTTTATGTATGTGTATGTCCATTGAAACCCAAACGGACAGAGGCAAAGCCAACCCACCTGATGCAAAGACAAAGCGTTTGGGGATTTTATCGATGCCCTCCATCTCGTAGGGTTTTACCCTTTACACCACGTGTCGTAGCCTCAGTTGTCCTTTTGTCATGTTTCTGCAGAGATACACGTAGTCTGAAGATTTTGGAGCAAAGGGACGGTTTGTATTTAAAGAAGAAAAATATATATTGTTTTTTTTTTTTTTTGAACAGATTTTACAAGGGGTTGGGTTCGAACCCAGTCTTGGGGAAGGGGAAATGCACTATGAGTAGTTATTGCCATTTGACCCGAAGGGCTCGGTGCGAAAAATATATATTGTTAGAGTAAGGAAGGATAGTTATATACATTAAAGTTCAAAAAATTAAGATGCTTTAGTATTTAGGATGTTTATTATACTCATTTGTTGAATGGTTTTAGAGGTAAGACTCATTCGACGAATGTTTGTGATGAATGTTTTGAATATTAAAATATTTTGATTTTTATATTTTTGTTTATATATTATATTTATATAAAATTTTAATGAATAATTTTTATTATATTTATTAATTATTAAAATTTTATATATGGGTGAAGTGTAAAATTTATAATTTTACACTTAAAGGGCTGTTGTGTTGTTGTTGTTTTGGGGGGAGGGGGATGGGGAATTGGGACCACGAGGAGGTTTTGGTTAGTAAGAAAAGAAATGGTTGATTGGGAAGAAGGAAAGTCTCTGACGGGAAAAGGAGTGAAGAGAGCAGGCGGGGACGATTTTCCTTTTCCTCTTTCTTCACAGAATCGAAAAGATGGACCCATACGCCCCAGTGGGTCGGACGACTGAGGTTGCGTTTCGCATTAGTTGTCGTGTATCAGTGTATGAACGAAACTGGAGCCTAACTTATAAAAGCCCAATTCTTCAAGCCCATTTTTTTGACCAGAAAAAAAAAAAAAATCGTAATTATGAAAAAAGGTTTTACAATATAAATTAATTTGGATAGTAAAATATTAACCGTTAGGTAAAGATTATACCTTAAATATTGTAGATCTTTCTCCATCAAATGGTTTTTATTTTACAATTTAAATCCGTTTAAACTATAAATTAACAATTTATTGGTCCGAGTAAAAAAAACTTGATTTCCCTTAAACAATATTTTGAATTCGAGTCTTGTGAATGGAGAAACATGTGTTGGGAGAGCTTCCTCCTTAATGGGGTCCGACGTGAATCGATTTTAAATTAATCGAGATCCAAAGTGGTTACCAAAAAAAAGTCAATTTAAACCATAGGACAAGATATCATACTACTATTTACTAATCCGTTTCCTCTTAAGCCTAAAATAAAATAAAATGAAGTTTCGTGACTGTGGCCGAAGGCTTGAGCTTGAAGCGTAACACTGTCCATTTTATGAGTGAGTAGTAAAACTGACAAAATTAGACCCAATTCAAAATTTAACTCAATTCATTCATTATGAATATGACTCAAACCAAAATTGTTTGAGTTTAATTGAGTTAGGTCAAGGTTGGTTTTGGTCCATTCGAAGTGAAGTGATTAAAATTAATTTATTTTTTT